CTGGGCCCCGCCGTGCAGGCGGTGTGGGGACGCGCTTCTCAGGCAAGATTTGCAAGGACGTTTCAAACGGGGCGCTTTCGAAAGCGGTCGTGGAAGGCTCTTGTTTGTTGGTTGATTCATGGTGCTTCCTAGGACTGAGGGCAAAGCTGCAGTTGCTCAGTGAGGAGCACCCACAGATCCTTTTTGATGACAGAAAGTAAGTCTTAAACAGAGGGGGTGTTCCTCCAGGGGGACAGATGCTGGCCGGCTTTTGAATAAATTCCCGTGGTGCCTCTCTGGTTTGCAGGAGGGATGAGTGAGCTTCGGGCTCCTTCCTTTTTGGCTTTGTTGTGAAGGGTCTTACCTCAGTATCTTACCTGTTGCTGGCTCTGCCTTGATTTGTCTGTATCCACACTAAGGTTGGCATTTCTGAGAGCCTACTCGGCATTTAGGCAGCTGCACTTCTTTTTGAACAGATCCTTCTTTTTAGTTTGCATCCTAAGGTCAAATTAACCAATGCAAAAAAGTAACGGTCCAACACGTGGATGTCAAACATTAGTATATGAAAATGAGGCAAACCTTTTGTAGGTTGATTGTTCGCACAAGTAGAGAGACCTACCCCATCTGCCCGAAAAGCCCAAAGAAAGGGTAGTAATTTTGCAAACACATTAAATATTCACAATACAAGTCAGTGGTGCCCTCCTTTTCTTGGGTTTTGAAAAAGATCAGTCCTTCTGCTTACCACAGGGAGCTGCTGTGAGAGAATTCTTCTGGATGTGAACAAGTTGTCCACAAACACTGGAGGCTCTTCCTTCATGCTGAAGGAGGACAGAAAAATCATTCTCACCATGGCTCAAAGCCTAATTAAAGTCTAGTAGTTGGAGGAGCTTAAGGAAAATGGTGGATGGGACGGAGCCTTTTTAACTTTGACGTGAATTGTTTGCAGTTACCATTCAGGAGGAGGAAACAGAGCAGTTAGACTGAAGAAAAACTAGGACCAAAGAGGTTTACTTACAATGATGACATGAAAAAACAAGAAGTGGATTGGTCCTGTGAAATTCTCTATGGTTTTGTGAGAAATGA